TTGTCAACTAACTGTTGTGACCATTATTTTCAAATTAGTTATTATGACTATTTGTAATAAATTTTAAATCCTAATTATCAATTTCATTCAAAGAGTTTTAAAATTTTGCTATATTCTGAAAATGATTATTTAGTAGTGATTAGGATAATATCTACTTTTAAAAAGTAATTTCATATTGCAAAGTCATCATTTTCAATGTGTTTGCTATCCTATGTCCTGGAAATAGGAAATAATTAATCCATTTGTTTCTTAGAAATTGTTGCTGTTGTGCAAGATAATCATCTCCTCAAGATCAAGCCTGTTCCTCCTTTCTGGGTTTGTCTTCCTTTGCTATTTAGGCTGATATAGCAGCAGCCACATATATAATGAGTCAATCAAGGACCTACCTGTTTCTTCAATTGTGGACCATTGATGCTTGTAATTTATTGAGTTATATTTCTCCGTACTTTGAAAATAAAAGTTGCTTTGTTTTCCAACTTGCAATTCCATTTAACAATAGTTGATTGGTATCACGTTGCGATTCCATTTAACAGTTGTTGGCTGGGTTCGAAACAAATGTGCATCAAGAGATTGTTTTCTCAAATCAAACGGGAGGTGGAAAAAGGACAAACGCCTAACACGCATAGAATATTCTAGTAAAAAATGCCCAAGTCATTTTTGTTCTTGTAGTGAAAAACGCCCAAGTCATTAATTACCGTGTAAAACAAGTTAGAAAACCAAATTGCCAAGAGTCGTTTTTGTTGTCATTATTTATTGAAGTCTATTAATATGGCAGCCCCAATTTGACCATCTTTTCAACAAACTATTTGCGTTCAAATTAGCCTTACTTGCTGCTGCTTAAGATTTTCAACTCAAGGTTAAATTACTTGTGTTCTCTAATCTTGCGTGTTCAATGCACATGATTAGTGAATATTCTTGCTGACTAATTTATAACCACTTCTTGCACTTGCATCATATCCTATATTTAATTCCACCATTTTTCGAACCACTACATCTGTCATTTAACATGTTTTACATGCTAATTAATTTAAATTACAACCTGCTATGGTTTACACTATAATTATGGGTGATCATGGTTTTTTTTATTATTTTTCATAAAATTATACGATACTAATATTTTTTGATTTTGTTTAGTATCAAAACTAAAACTATATTTTTTAATATCTTTACAATTACTTAGATTTTATTCGGTTTCAGCATGGGTTAAGTATGGTTTTTTGGTTCTTTAATCAAATTAAAATATTTAAGTAAACTAAATAGAATTTTCACATTGTTTCCCTTCGGAGGGATCCCTCTCACCTAATGGTGTCAAAATTTCTTTGTGATTCAGTTGAGTGTTGCTTTATTTCTTTTGATAATATAAACAAATAATTTACTAGCTGCTTTTGTCCTATAAGAAGCTAATAATTTTTGGTTGTCAAATAATTCATTGCCCAACCAGTACACAACTAAATCTTGTTGAATTTTTTGCTAGGGAAGAAAAAGAACACCTATTGAATTTGATAGAAGAACAAGAATAGGGCTACGTATGAATTATTCAGCCACGTGGCCCTTTGGAAGAATTCCTCTGACCTTGTAGTATAAAACAATTCTTTGTAATTTCAGTTGAATAATATTTCATTTCTTTTGATAATAAGGAAATAATTTATTAATAACTACTTTTGTTCTAGGAAAAGCTAACTATTTTTACCTGTCAAAAAATTCAATACCTAGCCGTTACATAACTAAATCTTGTTGAATTTTTCCGGGGACGAAAACGCTCATTGAATTCCATAGAAGAACTAGAATTGGGCTATGTGTTTATTAATAAGCCATGTAGTCATTTGGTTTTTCTTCGTTTGGTATGTAGGCTGATGTAGCAGCAACCACATCTATTATGAGTCAGTCCTAGTGAAAGCACCCGCAAAAAAGCCATAGGATAGATATAGGTTTGCCGACCTCTTTTGTCAATTGTATTCGAATTAATTTTCGTTGACTGACCATTGATATAGGCAGACAAACAACTTAGCTAGTTGTTGCCAATTGTTTTGCAATTTAAATAATTTACTAAAGAGCAAATAATTTACTAATAACTGCTTTTGTCCTATAAGAAGCTAACAATTTTTGTTGTCAATTAATTCATTGCATAATCAATATATAACTAAATCTTTTTGAAATTTTGCCATGGAAGAAAAAAAAAATGCCTATTGAATTTGATAGAGGAACAAAAATAAGGCCACGTATGGATTATTTACCCATGTGGCCGTTTGGAAGAATTCCTCTGACCTAATGGTGTAAAAAATTCTATGCCTAATTTCAGTTGAATAATATTTCATTCTTTTGATAATAAGAAAATAATTTATTAACAATCACTTTTGTTTTATGAGAAGCTAACTATTTTTACCTGTCAAACTAAATCTTGTTGAATTTTTACTCGACAATAATAAAACTCCTATTGAACTTCATAGAACAACTTTAAACTAGTCATTATATTTATCCTTGAACTCTTCAAGTCTAAATATTAATTTTTTAAAAAAAATATTATTATTAGAATAGTTAATTATTAAAATTAATAAAATTTAAGTTTATGCATTATGATTTATAATAAATATTATTAGATATATTTAATTTTAGATATTAAATTAAAATACTACTAAATTTTATGAAATTAATTTAAACTATTTGTGCAATTTAACTAAATAAAAAGTTTCCCTTTGTTTTACAAAATTAATTAAAATTATTTTACAAAAATGATTTTTTCCCTTAGTTCATTTATGTTGTTATGTAGCAAATAAAAAATACAAACTTACCTAATTTGATTTGACAGTTAGGTTTTAAATTACGGTCGTTGAATAGTTTCCAATAAATTTAAATTGTTTATTCCCAATTTGTAGCTTTTTGTTTAGCTTGATTGCACAAATAGTTTAAATTAATTTTTGTAAAATTTATTAATATTTTTAATTTAATATCTAAAATTAAATATATTTAATAATAATATTTATTATCAATTATAACATATTAACTTAATTTTTAAAAATTTTAACAATTAATTATCCTAATAGAAATATTTTAAAATAATATTAGTACTTAAGACTGAAGAAGTTCAGAAACAAATATAACAACATTAATTTTAAAGAATAAATAATACAGTGGATAAAAAGTCTAAATGGGTAAAATCACCCTATTGTTTGAGAAGAATATAAAGACTAGGGAACACCCTAATTTCCTAGCAGCCTTCAGAAGTTTCGAAGGGTCATTTGTGGATTACACGTCTGATAATAAACGAACATCGATCAAATGGCGCTTTCTATTCACAAGGAACTAAATCTGGTTTTCTTTTTCTTTTTCCTTTTCATTTTCTTTTTTTCTTTATATAATTAAAGAAATTAATAATAATGGTAATACTTTCCTCTTATATGTATTCCCATATAGGTTTATAAATTTATATATTTATAGTATTTATGTATACATATCAGGTGGTTTTTGAAGAAAAATGAACGGTGAGAAAAGTTATGTTGAACAGCCCAAGAAATTAATTTGCCTCATAAATATTAAATATATAACATTTGTCTCCTAGTGAATATTTCCATAAAATATTCAATAGAATTTTATTTTAATAGCTTAAATATTTTCCAAATGTAAATGATTTGAGATAGTGAATACACATGAAAATCTGACAGTTGACATGGATTTTATCAGGACTTTGCTTAAAGTACATTATACTCCATTTTAACAATCGGTAATTGACATTTATATTTAAAAAGGCACCTAAAATTTTTAAAAATAAAATTTTTGATAAATACTTTATGAGAATATTAACTATAGGATATATGTTATGAATTTAATATTTGTAGAGTAGAGATTACTTTTATATATTTGTAAAAATTATAATGCTAAAACTCAAATTTTTAAGAGGGTAAGATGCTATTTGTCTTTTAAAAAAATATAGGCTCATCATTTAAATTTTGCATAATATAAACAATTTAGTAATAATATTTGGGTCAGTTGTCCTATATGAGCCCTGAATCTTTATATTTGAATACCGGAATCTTTTCTCACCCATGACTTATATTGGATTTGTATGGTTTCCAATTGCACTATTTTTAAGCAACGCATTAACTAATTTTTTGCTAATTAATTTCATTTCCTATGTACAGTCAACCGCTCATTGTTATAGCATGTGTACATTCCTATCCCACACTAAGATGGAAGCTTAACTATAAATAAATACAACCTAATTATGCTGCTATTTCTGGTGACATTAGGCGAGTGGAAGTGATGTCATGTGTTTGTTAAGACTGGAAAAAAGTCAACCAGAAGCCGCTTTTGACAACTCTTGTGGCTCCTCGTGCAACAATTGGAACATTTTCTCCTAATAAACAAAAAAGCTAAAAGCCAACTTATCACATGCTAGCTGCGCACATAATTTTTATATATATACGTCACCTAAATCTTAGGTAAGCCATCTTCCAATAAAAATCGAATGCCTAATTAGATCCTCTCATAGCTGCATGTCCCATCTAAAGGTTGTCAATTTCAAAATTGGTTTTGTTTTCTCAAAGCGAGTGAGAATTTGTTTTAGGAACTGTGAAGACATTTTTAATAGATTCTTAAACTAACTCAACAACAAACAACTTGCAGTTGTTAAGGTCTTTTTTTATTAATGTTTAGGCACTATATATATAGACTAAGGAAACTTAATTTCCTCACAGCCTTCAGAAGTTTTAAACCTTCATTTGTAGATCAAACTTCTGGAAAGGACACTGATCAAATGGCTCTCTCTATTCACAAGGAACAAAACCAGGTTTTCTTTTTCTTTTTCTTTTTCTTTTTTCTTTATATAATTAGAGAAAATTAATAATAATGTCAGTCTTCTCCTCTTATTTATATTCCTACCTAGGTGTATATATTTATATATTTACTTATTTACGTATACATGTTAGGTGATTTTTGAAGAAAAATCAGGGCTGAGAAAAGTTGTGCTGAATAGGCCCAAGAAATTGAACAGTCTCAATTACGAAATGGTACGTGAAAATGGTATATAGAAAAAAAATAATATTATACATTGATGACACTTCCATTTATCCTCTATACAGATTTGTCAGATGTTAAACAAGTTGCAAGTCTATGAGAACGATCCAAGGGTGAACCTTGTGATTTTGAAGGTGATTTCAAATTCTATTAATTGTTCATTCAATTATAACTTATTTTCTTATTCGAAATATTGTTTTAAAACGATATTTACTGAATAAATTCTTGACCCAATTTAGGGAAATGGGAGAGCATTTTGTGCCGGTGGGGATGTCACTTCTGTGATAACTTTTATCATTGCAGGTAAAGCTACTTCTAAAGAAAAATCAGCCATAAAGTTTAAAAAAAAAATTAAAACCCATGTCAACGTACGTAAATGTCCTTTAAAATTAATTATTCGAGCAGAAGAAAATAATTGTAATATATGAATCAGGACATTGGAGCTTTGGTGCGAGTTTCTACAGGAAACAACTCACTCTTGACTACCTGCTGGGAACATACAAGAAGCCTCTGGTGAGACGATTTCCATAGTTTCCCATTTATTTAACATTTTAACCTATGTAATTCTAATAATTATATTTTAAATGGGGAATTATTCTTTTTCTTAATTATTCGTCCCTTTGGCTCCAATATGTGAAGATTTTTAATCACAGGTTTCGATTTTAAATGGCATAGTAATGGGAGGAGGAGCAGGACTTTCCATGCATGCAAAGTTTAGGATCGTCACCGAGAAAACTGTAATTTGATTAGGCCTTATGTTTTTATACCAAAATATTAATATTTTCTTATTTTGTTTTCAATTTGTGAAATTTTAAAAAATTAAATGGATACCTACTACCTGTAATACACAATTGCATAGGTATTTGCGATGCCAGAAGCTGCAATCGGACTTTTCCCAGATGTGGGGGCATCTCATTTCCTATCTAGGCTTCCTGGATTTTTTGGTAAATTTGCTTTTCTTACATTCTTAATAAAGTTTTAATACACTCTTTCTAGCTTTTTGATCTTTATAGATTTGGGCATCAGGTGATTTTAACTTATTATTTTTCTTTTTTTTTTTTTGGGTAAAAAAGGAGAATATGTTGGGTTGACTGGAACTAGGTTGGATGGAAGTGAGATGCTTGCATGTGGCCTTGCTACCCATTTTGTCCATTCAAAGGTATTTATTCACGTACCACTTTCACTTCTGCCATTCCGCTGTTAATTTTTTCCTTTCTGGAAAACAAAGTAATATTTATTGTTAAGTGAAAATTAAAAAAAAAATGAAAAGGAAAAGTACCCCTCTGCTTATTTGCTTTACAGATTATACTCTGATCTGATCCCATCAAAACTTGCTTTACAACTTTAAACCAAAACCAAAAGCAGAAGTTAAGAACATATTATACCTAGGGGTGACCGCCCCAAGCCACCGCTGACCAATCAACGCTCAATTCCGTTGTTAATTAATAGAAGAAAAAAATTCCATGGGCTATATTTAGAAGTTGGATTTTCTACAAGAAATTACAATTGCGGATTTTCATTTTAAAATTCCTTACATACGAGACATAATTTCTCCATAGAACCTCATCTGTTATCTTCTTATTTTCCTAATTGGCTAAAAACAAGAACTAATTGATCCTATGCTTTGTTTTCATTTTCTGAAATTTTTATTTTTGTTTCCCTTTCCTCAAAAATTTCATGATCCGAAAATGAAGTAGAAGATTTCCAAAATGAAATAAAATTTTCTGAATCTTTCACATTGAATTGTGAAAATGATTCATTAATTTAAATTATTCTAGGACCTTGCTTCATTAGAAAACGAACTGGATTCCATGAGTTCAAGAGGTGCCTTGGATGTACCAACAGTTTCTCAAGTCATCAACAGATTTGCTCGTAAAGTACCCATTAAACAAGACAGTGCCTATAAAAGGTAATGAATTGCCGACCATTTTCATTTATACATTCTATGATAATTGTATGCTAGACACCTATTTTGTTCTCTTTTGCAGAAGAAAATTTGGGAAAATTATAAAACAAGATCAATGTCAAACACTGATTATATATGAAAGATTATAACAACTCATCGTACAAATCAATATCATAAAAATTATCATACAAATCAATACAAATAGTTTTATACAACCTAACTGCATGATTATTTGTGTAATTTGTATATTAAATTATATGATTTCAATATTTAATATTTAATTTTGTCACAGTAAATTTCGAGTGCTAGTCCATTTTATGCCTTTTATTCAGTTGAAAAAGGATCATATTCAAAGCTTATCGTAACAAATTCGGTTTTGGGTCCTGGTTATTTTGTTATGGATTTATAATTAATATTTGAGCGTAATTTTTCAAGTGCTTTTTCTCCTTTCAAATTGGCCCACATGTTTGACGTTTTATTGGTTTGAACAGGTTGGAAATGGTCAATTCATGCTTCTCGAGGGAGACGGTTGAAGAAATAATATCATCACTGGTAAGTTCGGCAACAAATGGAAACAAAACAAAACGAAGTAAACAGAAAATGATTTGGATATTTAGTTCTAAAACTTCATATAGATAATCTCATGTCTGAAATAGTCTCTAAGCAACTTCAATTTATTCATATTAGGAGAAATTAGCGAGAGAAGAAGGAGAAAGATGGATCATGGAGGCAATAAAGGACATGAAAGCAGCCTCTCCCACAAGCCTTAAAATTTTTTTAAGAACGGTAATTGAGCCAATAGCTTGGGAGTCAAGTTTTTGCTTCTTTTCTTATATTTTAGTGCCTAGATCTAGTTGACAATAGATTTGAAGGTTTTAGATGATAATGTTAAGCTTCTGTTCTTCTTGGAATAGATCAGAGAAGGCCGCATGCAGAAGCTTAAAGAATGTCTTCTCCGTGAGTTTAATGTTCTTTGTCACATTATGCGAAGAACTGTTAATGATGATTTCTTTGAGGTAGCTATGAAAAGGGATATAGTTATTTTATTTTTGTTTTAGAAACATGTTATTCCAACTATGATACTGAGAAAATTAAACTCCCACACGCAGGGCTCAAGAGCAATGATAATGGAGAAAGACAAGAAACCACAGGTAAATTATTCATAAATTATGTACAATACAAAATCTGTAAATAAATGAAAATAAATAAAAAAAATATAAAAAGATAAGCTTACTTGATTCAATTATAATCAGCCATATATTCATGGGAGATAACTTTTCAACTCAATAAATATATATGGTACGTATATATTAACAACTATTTAAAGATAAGAATAATATAAATTTTATTATCATAATCTCATTATTGAAATAATATTTAAATATATTGATTTCAATCTTATCTCAGGTAAATTTAGTACAATATATCAATCAATTTTACTCTAATTTCTAAAATAAAAATAAATTGCTATGAAAGTTTTTGGTAAACCCAACTTGGTATGCTTATAGTTATATTTGACATGTGGGACTTTTTACCTCAGAGGAGCTCCCTGTGAAAAGTTATAGTGTTGCCATTTTTTCAATTCAAATAAAAATCTGAAGTAAATGAAGGAATTACCATGTATAATTGATTGCTTCATTCCCAAACAGTGGAACCCTTCAAAGTTGGAGCTGGTGAGTGATGAAATGGTTGGTCAATTTTTCAACAAGGTTGAAGACGACGAATGGGTGGATTTAGACCTTCCTCCAAGATCAGACTCTCTCTACATTTTACAGTCAAGGCTCTAGCACCCAGAAACAATAAACAGAAGATAGCTAACAAAGATAATAAAAATAGTTTATGTAAACATGGGCTCATTGACCTTGTGCCCAGATTAATAAAAACAATATAAATGAAAATGTTTGTGAAGGAATTTTTGTAACATTAAGCTACTGTAATAATACTACTAAATATAATTTGACACCATTTCATCACTTGGGTTATGAAAACCGCCTTTATTCTTCAAGTGGTCGCAGCAAATGCGTAACAGAATAAAGCAAATAGCGGAGTACCAATTTACAGACACAACGACAACTATGGATAAAATACCATAATAATAATAATAATAATAAGAAGAAGAAGAAGAAGAAGAAGAGAAGAAGAAAGAAAGAAACAAAGAAAGAAACAAAGAAGAAAGGAAAGAACCAATTCTAAATAAGCTCAGACATTCAGACAGAACTTCTTCAGCCGCAGAAGAATATATGAAGTCTAGGTTGAGGTGGAAAATCCACGTACACCTCCCCAAGAGCCAGGTGGGGTGATGAACCCGGTCAAACACAATTACTTAATCTTTTTTTACTAAAAATTACTTCGTGTGTGTCTTTGGAGTGATTGGAGTATGGTCCTATTCTGTCCTACTTCGAGCTCAAACATGGAATTATCAAAACGGACTACTTCATTCTAAGTTCTTGAACCCAGTAAATTTTGGTTGCAATTGTGTTCCCGATTATAACCTAGAACCTATCAAGTTGGTAAACATTATTTGAATCTAGATTTTTTTTTAATGGAACAAACTGTAGAATTTTGTACCATCATAGTATTCAAAAATATATGTAACAAAATTTTCAAAATTATACATAAAAATTTCAAATAAATATCATCTACATAATTTATACTATATAATATTTAAAAATTATAATAACTCAACAATCAATTGATCAGTTCTCTTTAATTCGATTTTCGGTTCAATTTAAATAGTTCTCGTCCAAGGAAAACATTAATCAATTCTTAGATGTGGCAACTAGAACCCAAATGTCCAGAGAAAACTATTATTTTGACACACCAATAATTCTCTCTTTATTACTATGATATATTAAATATTTTGTTATTAATTTAGAACATCAATTTTTAGACATTATAAAATTAAGTACATTTGTTTGTGTCAGTTAAAATTGAGCAATGTTTAATCTGACATGTAGAAATGGAATATTTATATGATAAATGGTTTTATAACATGTTATTGGACCACTATAATTTTGATACATAAAATATTGACTTTTTATCAATTTTATATTAAGTTGTTTTTCTATATTTAGTATATCAAATATTCATATTTTATTATTTTATTAGTACATAAGAATTTATCACTATATAATATAATTTTTTAACATAATTCAATGTACTTTACTAATTAATATTAAATAGCCCAATAAACACAATGAAATTTAAATGGTATCAACTTTGCTAAAAAATTTGCAGTTAACAACATAACATAATATATTCTAATATTCCAATCATTTATTAACCAATCTGCTGACAATTTTAAGTTAAACTAGAGACTTTCAAATAGAAGCCTAAATTTTGCCGTCAAATCAGTGTAAAAAACCATGGCTGATCTTTTTCTTTTTCACTTCACTCCTTGATATACAACACATATTTAAAGGTTTATCTAATACACCAAACCCTTAGTTGCATAAGTATTAATTTTACTTTAGTTGTATTACAAAGTGATCCAAAGGTTCTTTGAGGGATATGGGATTGTTAAGTACCCATTTAAAAGTTTCAGAATGAATAATTTTTATTTAAAAAAAAAGTTACTGTAACAATTACTGTAATATTACTCTAGCAGCACGATTAGCATGCTGCTACAATGTACCACAATGAAAATTTTCATGTTTTTCTAGGATTTTTAGAGTTTTTAACTTCTCCAAAAACTCTTAAACCCTCATAGACTCTTAAAGTTATAAAAGGGAGATTTAGGTATCATTCTAAGATATTCAAAATTCATTTGAATCATCGAAGATTCAATCAAAAGCTTTGCAAAAGATCTTTATTTCTGACAAGATTCAAGCGTCGTTCAATCTATTCCAGCGATTCAAGGGTTAAAAGTTAGGATTTCCACCAGTTCAGGATTAAGGCATTAGGGGTTACAGGTTTGTTTTCCTTGAGATCTTGTTTAGGTTGTATTCAGAGTTTTTTTGGGTCACACCCCAACTAGAGCATGTGACCAATACTAAAACTGACACTCCAACCCTAGTAAGCCTCTAATAAGAATAGAATACAAACTCAAAGAAACCAAATGCCATAACATCTTTAATATATCATAACCCTGTCTGAAAAATAAACTAGAGCAATACTAAAATATGAGTACAAGTATCAATAGAAATGTCAAGCCGTACATCAAATTCAGCTAGGCAGGAAATGGGCGACTCGATCAGAAACGCGAACCCTTGCTACGATCTGAAAAATATAAAAGGATAAGTTGTAAAACCCAATGAATGATAATACAGACTCTAATCATGTTGGGACATGCATCGTAAAGCATGCCAAAAACATACGTAAGTATACAGTAACTTAGTCAAATTATCAAACAAGCAATAAAAATATGCCTCATGTTCTCAAATCACAATTTACTTATTTAGTCATGTGGGAGTATCTTCTTATATCAGAAATCACATCTCACGACAGAGCATATCATGTTGAATGAATCACATACCACATATCACATTAGAATCGAAACTAAAATTAGAATATCAACTCATGACAGAGCATATCATGTCAGACGATTCACATATCACATATCACATTAGAACCGGAACCAGAATCAGAATATCAACTCACGACAAAGCATATCATGTCGAAGGATTCACATATCACATCAGAACATAGGGATCCCGTATCAGAATTAGAATCACAATTAGAATCAGAACCAGAATTCAGAATAACTCCCGACATAGATTTTCAGAAAACAGTTATAATAGAGGCATGAATTTCAATTAAACATCTATTTTCAAATAACTTACTATAATTTCAAAATAAATGAATAACTATTCCAATTTTATTTTTTCAAATCAAAAATCATATCACATTAATCATTTCATACCAGAATAAAATAAACATGCATAAAGTAAGTATTATCACTCATTGTCCAAACTAGAACTAGAAATCCAAAGCACCGTAAATGAGCTCATGGATCGAAGAGTGTTTCCTCGAGTGGATCTACAATCACAACATCACAAAATCAAAACCAGAACCAAACTCCACCCACTTACAGGCTTTAGTACCCAAAATGGAATAGAATCCCATTTAAGAACCTTAGCACACATCCTGAGGTCCCTTACCTCACTCCGAAACCCAAATTAAATTGAACCTATAACCAATCTGTATATCTAAATCATCAACTTAGGTTGTACCAGCTACGAATACCTTTGAACCAGCTTAGTCCAGTTAGAAATTGTCAAAACCAACCCCGAAACCATCGAACCGGCTGAACCCATTGAATCAGCCGTGAACCAGCCTTAGTCTCACTGAATCGGCCCATAAAACCCTTTGATTTTCATTCTGGAAATTTTTCCTAATTTTTTGTATTTTTCTTCTATTTTTCTCCCTTTTTCCAAGCTTTTATTTTATTTTTCACCATTATTTAGAATATCAAAAATTATTATTTTCAGGTTTTTTCACCAAAAATTTACTCAAAACCATATAAATTTCATTTCCTAATTTTTCCCCTTTTTTCCGATTTTTCATGAATTTTTCCCATTTTTCTTCTATTTTTCCTTATTCTTTTTTTTATATTTCTATTATCATTTTTTTTCTGCTGTTGGATCCAGATCCCAAATCTAGATCCTACCCATAACTGGAGTCCAGAACCCAGCTCTTGAAATTTATTTATTTATTTACTAAGTTGAATTGGCCAAGTTGACTCACCTAATTAACTCGGTCCAGCCTTTTTTTTTTTTTACCCAGCTCATCCTAACCCAATGGGCCAGGCCCAAATCCACAAATTTGGGCCAAATCCAATCCACAAATTGGCCCAAATTCGATTTCTAGAATCGGGTCATCCTTTTGACCCATTTGACCTGCCAGAATTTGGAAATACAACTGATCAAAAATACTCAAAGTTAAACGGTGAAATAAACGAATTATCTCACAATTTTTGAGTATGTTGTGTACAACAAGCCAGCGACCAAGATGGATGGCTTTAATTGGCTTAAAAGTAGTTTTTCTAGGCTTAATTTGGCTTAAAATAGTCAGAAGGGGCGGACGGACATCAACGAAAAGAACTAAGAAAATGAAGCACTTCGGGATGGCTTCACTTCAAATTGATTGAGGGGTTTTTGTTCGTTTTGAGTCGACAATCCAAAATATATGCTTGTTTTGTCAAACAAAGTCTAAAATCAGTATGAATCATCGACCAAAGTGTCAGGCGTGATTCTGCCATTGTTGACTTGCAATCAAGTCCTTGAACTATTAGATTTGTTACAATCAAGTCCCTGAACTCTTAACAGAATCTGATCTAGTCCTTGTCAATTTTATTTTAGTCCTTAAAACTTTTAATTTCTTCAATTAAGCCCTTAATCTTCCAAAATCAACCCCAAACCTTTTTATTCTTCTAATTAAGCCCTCAAGTTATAAAATTAACTTAAAAATTTTATTAAAAATCTGGGATATTACATTTTGGAACCAATTGTAAAGCACATTCTTGCCTATATTGGCTAATTGAAATTAGCTTTTTTTTTTCAATACTTATTTGTTTTGAAATTTGGATCTTTTGTCTATTGTATTTTGAATCATTTTAGTTGTAGTTCACGTTTCGAGAAAATTACTGATCAAATTTTTAGTATTAGAGTATCATTTTTTGTCTGTGATGGTGCAACCTAAATCTGGTTATAAAGCTACCAAGAAGCTCTATCAGTGTTACAATCCCATCGTCAACCAATTCAGAAATTTACTAATCGAATGGCTACGAACAACAACAATAATGAACCCTAGTCTTGAAGAAAAGATCGAAAAGTTGTTTAACGACATA